CTCCACCTCTACCTCCACCTCCACCTCCTCTCTTTGCACATTCACTTCGGTACATAAGGTTCGCTTGCTCTGCATCAGTTGAACTTAAACCAATCCTCTGGCCAATAACATTTTGATACTGGAAAATACGATACACGAACGTCAATTAACTACTGCAGCCCATTTAGGAAGGAGGCTGGTACCCATTGGGGGTTGGGGGGTTCTTTCTTCTTCGTAGCTGTTCTTTGGTATTATATGTCGTACTATTCCCCCCTCCCCCATCACACCCCAAGATCAAGAAGTGTCTGAGGGAGAGAGTGGAGCATATTGGTTACACCAATGATTGCTTGTGCAATTGGTGTCCAGGATTCTGTTTGTCGAGGCTCCCAGTGACTTGACGGGCCCAGTAAGCTTATTTTTGTTTGCCATGAATTCGCACAAGATGGGAATATGGAAACTGTTGTAATTGAAATAATTAAGATATCAGGAAACAGAAAGAGAATGAACTGGATTATGAGGCGTAGTAACATACCTTCTTGTCTTTCGTTATTATGGTTTGAAGTCCAAGTTTCGGGTTCTTGCTGAATGCTTTGTCGTCGTAATGCATCAGGCTCTCGTAATCATAAGAGATGCCTAGAGAATCAACGAATGACCTTCGGTACTTCTTAAAATTACCCTTCATCCCTGCAATAAATTATGATGAAATTTTTTAGTCGGGAAAGTTAGTTGCTGTAATATAATTATTTTATTTAATGGATTCGTACAAGTACGAGTACAGGTACATAACAATAGGACATAAGTCCCTTACTTGGTTAATACACCCACACGTAAAAAATATCCCGGAAAGAAATATCCCGAAAGAAGATCCCTTCCCTGATCCGACTAAACTACAATTCAAATAATCTAAATCACACAGAACATTCTAAAGTATACAAATTAACAACTTAACTTAACTTAACAAGTACAGACAGAAGAAGTATTTACACGGCGACACTAAGATGATAAGAGGTAGACGTAAGGAAAAAATTGCTATGAATCCTGATGATGAGATCTTGAGAAGAAAATTTATGAAAGGTTTGGGTTCTCGTGAGTTGGAGATCAATTGGACCGGATATATTTGAGTAAACGATGTTTTCTGCGTTGCTTTTCAAACACTCTACAATTTGATCAAATCTGCTAAATTCAGGGAGAGTTCGAGGGTCAAGCCAAAACGGCAAAAAACTGCGCGGCTACTTTAAAATAACTTCAGCCTGATACTATGTTGGATTACAGTTCAGTTTGTTTAAACTTTTGAAGTACTGATAATATGCATTGAGTTCATTAGGGTGACAAATAAAAAAAGACCTAAGAGGAAACAAAATATCCCTTTTGGTAAGCGAAAAGAACGAGCTATCGGAAGTTGACTAACTGCAATAACTCTATGACGAAACTCAAATTTAGATTTTTGGTGGAAGATACGTGCGCGCACGTTCTTGAGAGTGATTGTACAGTAGCTAGTTTAAAAAAAGACTGAGTGGAGAAATTCAAGAATGAAGACTTTTGCTGTAAGGGTTTTTAAAAATGAACTGAAAATAAATTTTCCTTACCTGGTTTTACATTTTTTAACAGCACTGTGACAAACTGATCTCTATCAGGACGAGACTGTTCATGAAAGAAACCAATGGCATGGCCTGTGAAAGATCAGTAAGACGCTTGCTTTTTTGCGATTCACTCATATGATATCTACCGTTACCTGATAATCCATGTTGCTTCTTTCAAAATTCAATCTAGAGGATTTTCGAAATGGTCCTAAGTTCGGATAGAAAAAATGTTGGTTTAAATTTTCCAACGGCTTTAAAAATATCGTCCCTTGATAAAACCTCTAAAATGTGTACATATAATTAAGCAAAAAAACAAAAATAAGAAAAACCAAACAGGGAAAAAAGCAGAAGAAAAAGAGACAAACAAACCGACCATACTAAAAAGTAAGGAAAATAAATAAAAACAAATAAACAAACACATCAGAGCAAATTATTTACCGATTTCATGGGCAACAGTTCCTAGATTCCAGCATCGGTTTCCAAGGTCAATAATTTGACGGCCTCCAACTCTACCCACATTTGATAAACACCCTCCTCTGAAAAGTGAGGCGATATCAGAAGGATGTAGTGATTATTTACATAGATTTACATAGTTTGTTGCGCTTTCATGAAAATAGAAAAACAAAGTAGAGTGTAGCTCTGTTTAAGTTGGTCATCAGGGATCTCGCAGGCGAGACCTAGTTGCGACTCTAAGGTAAACTCTGATCACAAGAAAAGATATCATATTTGTGATAAAAACTTTGCAAGTGAGCCGTTGTCTTTACTGTCTTTATCAGGGTCAAGCATTATCTTACATGATAAGGCACCGTTAAGTTTCAAGCAGATATTTATTTTAATTTTCTGTCAGTGTCGGGGTTCTTATTCTCGAACTACAAAACCTTTGGTGAATCTTATGGCTGCAAGGAGAGGACCAAAAAGAAATGTAAAATGTTTTAAATTTATTATGTACTGATTTGCGACGTACTGATTGCTGTCGCAGACCTGGTTTACGTGTAAGGTCTCCAATAGCGGAGCGCGCGTAACGTAGCCCCATACGGAAGAAAATTGTTAAGTTAACCTTTAAAGCCAAGAAAACTTAATTGCTACGTCTAGTCCATCCATCCGTACATTTGTTTAATTTAAGATATTCTGATGTTTTCAGCACCAGAAAAAAAATGCTAACGTACTGGGATAGCTTAATTCTCTAATTTCTCCAACCATTTTTTTTTTCGTTCAAACACACAAGCTCATGATTACTAAGAATTATTTCATAGCAAATTACGCTAACAGCCTCTAACCTGCGTAAAGCAAACACTTTTTACGTCTTTTTCATTTGTTCGCCTCTTAAAGCGGATGCATGTCTTTCCCGTCCATTCATTCATTCCTGCAATTATGGCATTATTTGCTTTCCTGGCATTCTGTTTTTTACCTGTGTTTTTTAAAGAGCAAAGACTAGTAAATATCGATCTCTTGCACCAAGCGGGCTTCATTTCGCTCTGTTTGCATGTTGAATTCAAATCGTAGACATGACGCAGCGAAGATTCATCTCAAGTGAAAAGCTAGTTTTTCTAGGATCCTTTCCAGCATTATACTTGTTTGAATTGTGATACAGGTGAAGCGAATTGTTGGGGCGACTTTTTAATTAATACAAATGGATCTCTGAACTTAAAGTTGAAATGGAAAAACGGGTGATTCTACTCTTGACCCAAGTGTCCCAGCCACACAGAGCTTGTCCCGTTTTTTTTTTTTTTGTTGTATGAAGCTATAAGGGGTGCTGCAATTCTCTGAAAAATATGCCAATCCAACGTCCCGGAATGCAGCTGATAAACTGTTAATTCGTTTTCCATTTCAGTTATGTGTTGCAAATATTTGACTCCGAACTGGAAGAAACTTGTACAAATATGTCCAAGTTAACATAGAGTTTAAATACATTCGTATTAATCTCTGAAAAGTGTAATGCAAAACAAAACATGCACACAGAAGTTATTCGCCCTTACTAAGGCCATTAGAGATGACATAAGGGACTTCTCCTTTCGGCCATAGTCTGTTTCTGGGTTTGACGGCTGCTCTTTTTCGGGAAATATCAACATCCATTCCATGCTCGGCTTTATAACGGACATGGGGAGGAAGAATCATATCTCCCTCGAACAAATCCTTGTTATCCACGCGTAAGTTCTCTATGATAAAAAATTGAATAAAATCGATTAGTCGATCACTTTTTCATTCAATAAAACAATCATCATTCATGCAATCAACCAATCAATTGTACAGTCAATCCTCCAATGAAACCAACCAAACAGTAAGTATTGCTCAACTGATCGGTAGGGCAGTCAATTAATTTCCCAATTAAAAAAGAAGCATAAGCGTGACAAATTTATGAAACTTTATGTACTTCTATTCTCTTTGACACAACTAATAATTAGTTATAACCTCTTTAAATGGATATGTTTCAATAGGAAACTAATGGCTTGTAACTGACAGCTGCTCTTATAACTAACACGAAAAAAAAAAGGATTCGGCGTGAAGCGAATTTAAATTAAAACTCAATCTATTTCCCTCAAAATCAGGTTAACTTTGTATTGTATAAACATATAAGGAGTACAGCACTCAGCAAGTGAGAAGCATGAAAAACTGAGACAGCGACACACGTTTTCCCAAATGTGAACATTGCGACCTCTTTTACTCGTGTGTTTTTCTTTCTTCTTTTTCAGTAAGCAACGTTCAATAATCGAACTACGAGAGACCCCCTCCACCGGAAGAAAGAAGTCTCAACCATCTGCGCAGGCGTCTCGATATCGTTGCCAGAGTTTAAGTGAATGTGCATGTGTAACTTTATTTAGGCTGCCTAACGATCACTAGCTCCTCTTCTACACTGGGGATCTGAAAAATCCAATCGTTTGATCGCTACACCTAACTCTTTTCCTACCGCGTTTATGCAGACTATGGTAGACCCGCTATGGTATCAGCCAGCGTTGTCTTGGCGTTAACTGACTGTCTTCAGCTCTGGCATGATGGTCTTGAGTTGTTTGATAACGCGTGCCATGACTACGAGGACTGAGTGCACCTCTGGAAGATGTAAGCGAAGGTTAGCATTTGAAGGCGTTCGCTAACCTTTCTGAAGGCTACGTTGATGTGCCAAGATATGCCACGTTTGCCAAACCAATCGGTTCAGCTTTCTTATTATTTTCTCGGCAAATATTTTATAGCCCAGTCCTGTACAACTAACACTGATGACTCTTCTAATGACTCGAGGATATTGATCCTTGCAGCATCTTGATTTAAGGAGCGTAGTATGTGAGCCTTCCAAGCCATCGGCAGAAATATTGGACAAGATGGCGGCC